GTAAATTTTATCTGGCCAAGCAAAAAGATACAGAGTTTGGTGCCTGCTGTGAATGAAAATCGCTGTGTTAGTTGCCCACGATAACATTAACATATTTTGTAAATTAATAGTCATAATTGAATTCACTTAGACTCTTATTGCATATATTTTGTAGAAATAAATATTTTACGATTGCAGCGAATGTGAAATTTCGACAAGAATGCGGTATTGAATTATGGTTGAAGCAAGAAACGTAAATTCTTTTTGACGATGTGTAAAACAGCTAAAATTAAATTATTGGGTGCCAGATGTTACATAGCTTTATCGAATTTACATAATCGAATACGGTTTTGATTCTCGCTAACTAATTTAATGTTTGCTTCCGACTTTTTTTATTTACCTAAAATATTTCCAATATAACGGGGAGAAAAAGAAATCCAGTTATGTTAAATATTTTAGCAATGCTTTTTTGAGAAGCTTTTTACAAGGAAGGAATTTTATTAGGTACAATCTTGTGTAAATGGATTGGTTTTTTGATATCAACTTTCAAGGAATTTTGTCCACTTTTAGCTTTTTTGGAACTGAATGTGTCTAATTTTACGAGGAAAATTCCATGCAAGGCGGTTAGAAGAGGATTCTATCTTTTAGTTTATTCAGGAATCTTTTCCTTGCAATAAAGAGCGAATTCCTTACTTTTTAAGACACAGGAATTTCTTTGACGTATTTTGTTTAAAAATGAAACAGATTAGAGTCGCGAGATTATTTATTCTACTTTTAATATTTGTTGCCTGCACGCTGAAATCTCTATTCAACACTTATTGGTTTTGAAAATTTATATCCCTCTAGACATTCAAGCAATGTGGAAACAGAGGTTGGGATTTTTCAGGACATAGTGGTCTCGTTAGGACGGTTTGAATGAGTTTATAATTAAAAGATTTACAAGCTTGGAATCACTAATTATGTAATCGAGGAACAAAAATTTTTATTAATGAAAGACTTAATTAATTAAAGTACACTTGAGCGGTGAATTGTTAAATTAGAACGTAATTTGATTAATTCATAATTAAAATAGAAGCAAGGTGTTAATTTTAAAACAAAGCTTTTTCGAGGTAACTTCTGACGGCTGGAAATAAAGTTCAGACACGCACTAAATTTGAACAAAGTCAATAAATTAGTGTAATGGATGAAGTGTAAATTAAAGGTAAAACTGATAATCCTACTAAAATAGACACTGAGGTTCTTTTATCTGGCTCTAGTTGGTCTTTGGTTTAATTTACATATTAGCGCCATAAATTCCTACTACAGAAACTCGTTTCTATAAATTCAACCGTTTGACGCCAGCCAATTTGTATCTAATATGTTATATAGTGAATATATTAAATGTAAGTGTATTATCCTGTTCCCGTCTGTCTGGAGATTTATGACGTTTTGTTATGGAATACTAATGCGTCCCCTGGAAAAATAATAATGAACTATTTACCGATTTTTAGCGCTCGGACCACACATAAAGGTGCGAAAAATTTATTCGGAGAAAAGCAATCTGGACCGTTCCGCAATTGGCCGACCCTAAATTTTCGCTACAAATTGTTCAAATAAATCTTGTACACCTTTAGTTAATGGTAGTGTAAATCGTGCAACATATATCACAATACCAGGCCAACTCAATAATTGTTTGCCATTCAAGCTAGTTTTTGAATTAATTTCTCTGGCGGATAACTTGGTGCATTGATTGTTACACTCAGACCCGTGATCAAAAGCTTCCACATTGTTTTCCGGCTGCACAAAGGGAGTAGCGTGCTGAGCCTCTCTTAGGCTGGAAGGGTACTTAGACGAAGTGGAGGGAGATACCGTCCCAAAATAAATCTCCTCCAACGAAGCATTTTTTTCCAAAAATTCATAATTTAAACATACAAAGCGGATTACTTGAAAGCGCGTTCTTTGATTATAAAAACTGTTAATTTAATTTACTAAGTCAAAGGGGTAAATCTCTTATCTCAAAAATAATGCTTCTTAACGCAGCAAATGGTGGTTAAAATAAACCGCTCAGGGAAAGCAATTCTTTACCTTCAGTTTGGCGTTTCCGAACTGTTTTTATTGTCAGATTGAACTGCACAGACAGAAAGTATATTGTGATTTCAGAGGTTGATCTGTGCGTAAAAAATATTGTTTTGGGAGGTTTACCATTGCTCGTAGCCGTAAAATATTTACAGGCTCTCGAAATTGAGAAATTATGAAAATGTGCCGTCAATATTATGTTTATATGATTTTTTTATGTTTGACGTGCCATAAGCAAGGCTCATGGTAGTCATAGTACATAAGAGAGTAGGAAGCTGTGTATATGTAATTATTCGGAACATTTTTACTAATTTTGGATTTTATCAAGATGTGAAATAGATAAAGCAGTTTTTAAATATTTTTTTCTTCTTTACTACAGTAAAGACCCGATTTCTGGAATATTATTATTATTTTATTTTTGTGGCTCAGCTGAATTATTTGAGTCCCCAAAATGAGTCTGTTTTGGACTCAATAAAATACTTAGTAAAATTGTTACTCGTACCTAAAATACAGTTTTTACGGACAAAAAAACAATCTGGTTGTCACCGTAGTAACCAGATTTTTGCTCTGATGACAATAATTATAAATAATAAGAGGTGTGAATGTGCTTTCGGAGCTTTTTTGCTATTCCACACTCGATTAAAACTGTATATTAGGTACATACTTGTATGTAACAAAAGTAACTATATCTGATTCGAATGCAAAATGTAGGTTGAGGGGCGCCCATGCTTGCACATGCTACAAAACTAATTAATTTAACTAATAATTTTGCAAATACCTATATCGTGGAGTTAATTTTTAATTCAGGTCCGTTGTTGTGTGAAAATTTAATTAAGTCGCCGTGCGGTAGGTGGATATCGGATTATCATGTAGTTACCTTTAATACAAAATTTCGTGAGATAAAAGCTCGAAGAGTATTAAAATTGACAACAAAGGTATAATGTAGCTGCATTCTTGTCTGAATTTAACCTTTGCAGAAATGGCAAATCTTTGACAAAGTTCGAAGTGGAAGTAATACAAAAAATTTTCAGCCTAGACCACGTTACCTATATTTTTCCATCAACTCTTATGAACTCGAGGACTCGTGCAATAACTTCAAGGAAGTACATTATTGATTCACTGGCTGGTGCAGACACCTGCAAGCGATTTAAATTCCCCAAAGGATGGGATCTCGCTATATTCCTGTTACCGATATCTCGAACTCACTTTTTAGAATTAAGAATGAAAAATTGTTTCTTGAAGCTTACCTTACATCTGCAAGACCTTCCACCTGTTTTCGGTCTTAGGGGAATTCGATATGTGAGCACTGCGTGGAGAAACATTCTGAGATGGAGAACTTTGTGATTTATTCGCTTGTCAAATTGAAATCAACTAACCATCAAAATGTGGCAAATAAAAAAAGCAAACCTATTGGCTTTCACCTATTTTTAATTGTTTTTTGTTTTATTATTATTATTATTATTATTATTATTATTATTATTATTATTATTATTGGGCATTGACCATTATTATTATTACTATTATTACTATTATTATTATTATATTTGTAAAGTTTTTGAGAATGCACTGGGGTTGTATTATAAATAACTTTTGCGGCTCTGATTACTGAAACTTTTTGTGCAGGTATAATGAAGTGGTATCTGCACAGTATAACAATAATTACCCGTTCTTGGTTAATTATGGTACTTGGCAAAGTTTCTAGCACATCATACCTTGTAAGTTCAATATTTGCCAAGACAAAAAACCAAAAATGTAAATCTTCTGTTCCTAAATAATTAAAAGTTTCTCTTAAGCAAACCCAACGTGTTGTTAAATTGTTTCTCTTGATATTTTTGTTAATTTATAAGAGGGTTGGACCCGGTTAAACCGTACTTTTTTGTTTGTATTTTAATTACTTTTGGGGTAGGAGCAAATTAGGTTATTAAGTGGGTTAAACACGCATAAACAAACTTTTAATATACTGCTCTCATGAAAGGATTTTATTGAAGTTTGTTCTACTTGACCTGCGTTATCGGACACAGCATTTTAATACGTAATTTTGTGCTGGTTCTGACGTTGGTATATTTCAATTTTCCGTTCTGTTCATTACGGTGTATAATAAAGTAAGATGTTACATGATTGGATCTGTTATTATGTACTCGTATTATGATTATAGAAAGATTACATTCGCAATCAGTTGTTCTAACTTATTCTCAGTTGTAATAAAGATTGTGTCATAAATAATGAATATAGGACTAAACACGAGGACTCTTAGTCTGATAAAATACCTTTTTCGTGATACTTGATTGTTATTTGATTATTATAGACTACATACATATGTATAACAAATATTTGTTATTGCAACGATAACCGCTTGGGCCGTTATTATTTAACATAAGTTACACTTAGCAAATCTTATTTAAATACTTAGCATTACTACATACCATTTACATGAACACAAACACTGTTATATTCTCACCTGAGGATGACCACTGAATGTGAAACAAAAGTCCAAACTGTGTCGGGTTTAAATTGTGTTTGTGTTTATTACTCCCATATCAAGAAGATCCAACAAGAACTAACATTTACAATATTTTACTTAGCAAATTATTAGTTACCTAGCCTTACAAAAATACAACAACTGTAATTAAACGTAGGTAATTAAAAAATCAAATCAGTTGTTTGTTGATTTTTAAATTATAATTTTAAACAAATTCAATACCTTTTAAGATCGTTTTATTTTAAAACTCTTTGGTTACAAGTAATGCATTAAATATGTATAAACCTATCTGTAACATCAATCATTTGAAACAACGCCGGGTTAATTTGCACCATTTTGTATTTTATCAACATTTCGGATTTACAAGAATTACAGTTTTACACACATCAAACTTTTACTTTTGAATCAACATAGCCGAAATGTTTGTCGTAAGTGGACATAAAATTGCATTTCACACGCTGGTCCATGCTTCCGAAAATTCCTCTCGTCTTTGGGTTGATTGTGAGTTTCGTAGTTGAATGGAATCGTGAATCGAGCATTGCTGATTAAGTTTATATACGGCGGAAGATCCGTAGTTCTTGGGTCCGGTCAGCCTATATGGGAAATGTAGTAACGCCCTCTGCAGCTTTACGACGTGTTAACCCACCCACCATTCTGAAAATGCAAAAGCCGAATAAAAGCCGGAGCTCCCAAATTCGTTGCAGTGCGACCTTTTTATGTCTCCGACTTTGGTGTTTCTGTGGAATTGTAGATTTAAGCTGATGTGTTTGTTTAGTACACCCGTTGTTAGACCAGCTCTCTTTATTTATTTTCTCTTTCTACGTTTTTCAGGAAATAACGATTGTTTACTTTATTTTCGACGTCAACGCGCTACGTTTAAACGACTGCTTAATTGTTTCCATGTACCAGGTGAATAAAAAGTATGGAACCAAACCTTTTTTGCTAAAACTATTTATTTTTTGAAAAAACTAATTGATGAGTGATAAGGTACTATAAAAATGTGATGATTTAACAAGAATAAAATTTTTCGAAATTTCCTTTTGTTTTTGAGTTCTACAAAAAAATATTTTTTTAAATGGCAACCCACTATAAAATCATTTTTCACATAAAAGCTATACTCTAAGGGTTACAACTATCTGCTTTATATTTAATTTTTTAAAAAATTTTTTTTCACATAAATTGCAATTTTGACAAAAAAAATGGCATAACTCAAAAACAAAACAAATTTTCGTTCTGAAAATACGATCACATTTTTTATATTACGTTAATTTATATTAATTATTATTTTCTAGAGGCAAATGATTAAAAATAAAACCGCTTGGTTCCATCCTTTATATTCACCCTGTATGTATACGAGAAGACGACCCTATTTTATTCATAGATTTGAACTTAGGTCGGAAAATGAGGATTCATTATGGAAATTACTTTTCAGCACGGGATAATTACAGGAATGTTAAAGCAAGGTTACGATTGACGAAATACTGGAATTATCAAAAAAGAAATAAACCTACTCGTATTACATTTTTTGCATTTTCTATGTTATAGTGAAGAAAAATTATTAGAAGTAATAATTAATAAAATAGTACGTAAAATGGTTATTTTAAAGACTCAGTACCCAAAACAGTTTTTTTGGACGAAAATGTCAATTTGGTTACTTTGGTGTCGAAATTTTTGTATAATAAGAGGTGTGAATTCGTTTTTTGGGAACTTAACAAAAAAATGTTGCTTGTAACGCGTACCTAAAACATTTTTGCGGACTCATCTGCTATTCCAGCCCGGACACAGCAACGATTTGTCGGCAAAAACTGTATTTTAGGTAACAAAAATAACTGCATGGTGTTTTAAGAAATAGAATGTAAACTTATTTTGCATTTCAAAGAAATAATTTTATTGCTTGTAGGTAAACTAACAGTGTTTCATTTGCAGATTGGATTTAATCTGTTTATATTATGATAAAGAGTAGTCAGCAGGATTGTGTTTGGTATTAATTTGTGTGTGAAAACATTGCTATCGTGATGAATCTATTGATTTCTCAAAATCTACAAATAGAGAACAACCCGATTAGCAAAATTAATTGTAGGATGTCAATTTTGCTCTAAAAGTGGATTGTATCTAAAAGCAGATTTTATTTTAGTTGTCTAGATATAGGTGTAGGTGTATGAGAATGTTGATAGCCACGAGAATATGCATGCATAAACTTGTCCCTTTTTAGCAAATGTAAAATTTTAGTTTATATTTTAATTTTGGTCACACAGGCTGACTTTTGCATCAACTAATTTTTATTTAAACAGAAAAATATGAGGGTGATAATATGCTATGGATTTAAAAATGTTCCAGAACATTTAACTTAAATGAATAACGAGAACAAGACGAATAGTGCAGAAGAGGCCATTTATTGTTTAACTTCCGGATATAAATCCGCAAAATCCCCCTAATTCTGATTATGCGGATTATGAGACAATCGAGCTGACAAGTACGATTCCTGTAATATGAACTCTGTTCCGAAACATAACACAAAACGTCCACAAATTATTTCAACGATGTCACTCAGAATGATATATTACACAACACTGCCAAGATCAATTGGCCCGATGGCCACTTCGGATGGCTGCACATTTATCGCCGAATTCTTCCAAATGTAGAAATAAAGACTCACGCGCTTAAATCCGTTTTTATTGAAAAGTATAATAGTGGAGAAAAAATCGTGCAAAATCTGCACGATTTAAATTACGTAAGTCATCAAAAATATATCTGCTTTTGAAAAATGACATGGCTCGTTCGCAAAACGAGCTCAATTTATATAGGGTATACATAATGGAAAGGATCGTAGATGCAGGACGGATTCCACCTAATCTAGATTACTGAAAGTTTTACAGACCCTCGGATTTCAGGATTCGCAGATAAAACCTCTTCCAGATATACTACACTTATAATGAAATATTATAAAATTTATAAACGTCTGAAAATTCCTTCTTTCTAATTATACAAGCCACTTATTAAGTAGAAACTTCCTTGTATTTTTTAACAAATATTTGGCAAATATTTAATGTAGTGATAAATTTTTAAGCGAGTAGTTTTGGGTCACGAAACCCCATGTGTGATGTCAACAACTAGATAAATGTGGCGAGGGTTCCTTTGAATTAGTTATGTTGTTTGCATCGTATCTTTCCCAATTATTAAACAGCGGCAACACAAAGAACTGCTAAAATTATTTATTTATAAAATGTGGAAAAGCCGCGTCCCGACCTTGAGCTTCTTTGCAATAAATTACCGAAGGCTGCATCGAATCGATCACTAAAACAAGGACAGCTTATTAAGACAACAACAGGAAATCTTTTGGTGTAAGAAAATTTAATTATGTTGTTAATATATCCGTCCTAGCTTTAGCAATTTAAAATTGATTCAATGCCCGACTTAATGAAAAGGCGAAACAAATAATTTGCAATTAATTAAGAAAATTGCTCTTTAGATAATTTAAAATGGAAATGCTGGCGATGTCGATACCGTACAGTTGGGAATTTTCATTAATTTAACTTTCAGCAAAGTCGCCATTAAGACCATAAAGTGTCTGAATTTCAATTATTGTTAGAGGTATAAGAAAAGCCCTAACATCGCCAACCACAACTCTGTAAAACAATTTGCTAGTTTACATCAGACTCATAATTTCTGCATTCACTTCGTTGAACTTCCAGATTGTACAAGTTTTTGCTTTATTTAGAGCAATTAGGAAAACTTAAACCTAAACACAATTAACTCTACTCCACTGGTGCACGTGCAATAAAAGGCACAAGTAATTTTTTAACCCAAATTCCAGGTATTTACCTTCATAAATTTTAAATTAACGCCTGTTTAGAATTTATGCTTGCGTCAACAAAAAGCTCAAAGCTCGTATAATTACATAAAATATGAATTTACATTATGGCACACCTTGGATTTGGGTTGTAAAATAACTGTAATGAAAGAAATTACGCCCACTCAGTTATTTTACTGTCTTTCCTTGGAGGTTGTACGCGACATTTTAATCTGATAGAGCCATAAGGTGAGACACGCATTGTACGATGATATAAAACTTTATTATTATCGGAATTTAATAAAAGTATCACTTACTTTATCGCTATATTAAATATAAAATAAAGTAACTTAACGTCATGACTGGGAATACACTTTTATGCTCTGTTTCTATACAACCTCGTCCGAATATTATACCGCATTTATTAGAATTTTGGTGTGCTATATTACACCGGTTTATAGAAATTTGCATTTAATGACTCAAAAAAGGATTTTTTAAATTTCCAATTCAACGTGTTTGAGATAACCATCAGTATTAATTTAGTGTCAATAAACATATTTTTACTTTGAAAAGATACAAACCTAAAACGACGTTGACATCGATGTTCGAAATATAAAACAATACAAACTCAGTGTTTGTAAAGTCAAAAGTTTGAAGGGGTTGTGGTGTTTTTATAAAAGATTACACGTTTTAAACTCTTTACAAAGGCTTTTCTGGCTTTTCAAAGCTTGCAAAATATTATTTCGGGGAGAAACATTTTTAAATAATTAGTTGGTAATTTTTTTAACTTGCAGCTGCATACTAATTAAAAGATTATTTAGCTTAACTATTGAAAGTTTCTGGAATAAAAAGCATGATGCAATAAAAATTTGGTGTTAAATTCAGTTATACTGAGGGTAGTGTTAGGAAATAACAAGCGTGGTGAATGACCAGATATGTAATGCTTCTATGTTTGCTCTTCAATGCATAGCTTTATGCAGATTTAAAGTTTGATGTTAGTGGGAAATCTGGAACATAGCATAGCGAGCTAAAACAAGAGAAATGATGGTTTTACACTAATCAAAGAGACGTTTTAAAATTAAATCACTGTAATGTTGAATAAAATTTTTGTTACAAATCTAAACAAACATAAACAAAACAAATTTTGCTCTAACAATACACTCGTTGTTAACATTAAAATTTATTTTATATTTAAATTTGCGTTTTAGTTTTATTGTTTTTACCGAAAGAGAAAATAAATGTTCTTGATGTAAAGCAAAGAGTAATTAGTAAATATTTATACACTATTCACGACTTTTGGCCTTTATTGAAGATCCATACACACAAACATTATATTGATTTAAATAACTTTCTCGTACCAACAAAAATAAGCCATACATAAAATATATTCACTTTATCGCTTCTCTACTTTTGCGTTTCATGTGGTATGAGTCATGTTGAAAGACATTTTCGTGGTATTTTGTTACAAAAATAATAAATTTGAAAGATGATTGTATTTTGGAACAGTCTAGTCATTAATCTCTCTCTGCCTTCAAAACGATTTGTCACAAGTTTTGGCGATTTTATACAATCTATTACAAAATGGTAAATTACATTAAATGGGGTAACGTGACATGTACTCAAATGAGGAAGATTTCGTATATCTTAACATATTTAACCTCTTTTTTACTTTTTTTGAATGTTGGTAAATTGATTCTTTGTGGTAAAGAGTAATATCGTTTGAAAAATTATACTAAAATATGCAGTGGTGTTATTAAGAAAACAAAGTAGAGCGCAACTTCCCTCTAATAAAACGGGTAAAATACATATAAAATAACTACGAACACAATGAATTTATAAAACATTCGTTTCCGCTACGAGACTTAATCCTTCGAAATGAAATTCAAGTGAATTTTATTCTGTATTCCAATGCAGGTGAATAGATGGTTAATGACGGAAGATTAAATGCCGCCTTGCAAAGGGTGAATTATACATTATGAAATTACTTTGTGTATTTTCAATTATTCTTTATTACTTATTACTGACAGGGAAAATAAAGTTTTTGTTCTTATGTACTTATACATCCATCAAGAAGCTCTCCCATTACTTTGTTTTAGATATAAGAACAAATAAATATCTAAATTGGAATAAAAGTTTTATTTCAAAATTATATGTTACGGGTGTCAAAATATTTACGATTTCATTTGGAAATCAATGAGCTCTCAATAACAGAATAACTCTTATATAAACAGTTCAACTTAAATAATGAAGCTATTAGCTTGGAGCGTTTTTTATAATCCAGCCTGTATAAGTTAAATTTTATACTAACAATAAATTTATTATCGCATTTATTTGATTTTTATGGCAGCCACGTACCAAGTTTAAAATTTATTAATACGAAAAGCTGATATAATCAAACATTATTTATTAATGCCAGCTACCAATAATATTATTGTATACGACGTTTTAAATTACAAATAAATACCAAATGAATTAGCTTTACTTAACTTAAACAATGTATACTATTATAAAAAAACAATTTATTTTTATTATTTTTATTGGAAAATTGGGTATCCTTTGTTGAAGATGTGCGTACACTTGGTTTAAGATTTGTAATTTTGTGTTCACATTTGGCGTTGTTCAAATTTGGCGTAAATTAATTCGGTAAGAGCAATAGAAACATCTCGCGTACGACTAAACAATTATACACTTCCTTCCACCTACGATATAGCAATTACGTACACAATAGCGTCGCAATACAAAGAAACTTTTGTTAAATTCAGTTTTACAAACAGCAGACACGACGAAAACAAAGCGTTTCATTATGAAGAAGCAGATGTCTTGCCTTGGCTTATCTACCTTGGCGCAATTTATTGTGAAAAGGGAGAAGAGTAAAAAATAGGCATAATGAAAGCGTGAGAACATTTAAAATGGCTGTAGCTGTCTTGCTCTGTTATAAAACCCAATTAATATTTGAGGAAAGACGTGAAACTATAAATGAGGCGTTAAATCAGGCCGAAAGAGGTCGATAAAAGAACCGAATGACGGATGACTTAGAAATTATTAAGTCTAAGTAGCCTATAAAATGCAGTTTATAAATACCACAGTAGATTTTAAACCGGTGTAAGTAGCTTTTAACGACGGGGTGGCAGAGTTCAATTCCACTTACCATCAACCCTCATAAATGACGGGTCGAGAAATCTGTTAACCTGTTTGAACCTCGGCCATCCCCTTCCGATCGATCGGCTAGAATAAAAAATTCACATCTAGAGGAATTCTTTTGGCTTTTTTACCATTCTTAGGGGCCACACATCAAATATTAATGCGAAAATAAATTTTAACGGTGACATATTGCGTCACGCGAAACTTTCAAATTGATTACTCCGACGTAATTTGTTTTCCAGACACGTAAAAGTCAAGAATGGATTACTCCTGTTTTGGCTCTGATATTATTAATTCTTTTCGTTTTGACGTTCGCCCAGTAATTGATGTAATTTGGACAGTCTTTCATTGATTTCGTTATCTTTTCAATTAACCGCTTCCCCAACCATGTTCACGCCATGCCAAAATGCTTGATTAATTCCCCCAAATCTTGAACGATTAGAACTACAATCTCTACATTTTAGACGTAAAACAATATTGTTGAAGTTTTGAATATTGTCTTTAGCCCATTCAGATTGGACAAAAATAGGGCGATCGGTGGAAAAAAATCATAGAGAGATGGAATTTTTTTAAAACGCTGTCTTTATTCTTGGGTAGACATATATCAAAAGTCCCCGAACATGGGGTGCGAGCTCGAGGAGGGGGAGGGGGCTAAAGTTGTCTTTTTTTGTTTTTTTTGCTTATATCTCGGAAACTATTACTCCTAACGGTTTTTGCCTGCTTATCAAAATTAAAGCCTACAAAATTTCCTACAAAAACGGTCCTTTACATTTTTGTTGTAGGACTAATTGTAAGCGAATTATAGGGCTGACATAAAACATCATTTAAAAAAATGTGCTTTATCCGCATTTAAAACAGAATTAATCTTGTGATTTGAAAAAACTGAAAGCAAATTGAATTTATTGGGTGCAACACTTCATTAGAGAGTTTAGACTCTTTTTAGAAAGTGTTCCTAGTCGTCCTCATATGCTGTATCTTCGTCTTCAACTTAAACATTACTTAGGAAAACCTGCAAATGTTTCTTTAAAAGCGTTTTCTTTGTCGCCACCGTGAATAATGTAGCAGTAGTTGTTTCAGGTTTTTCGTTTTTGTGTAGTGAGAGAACTTAATTTATGTTGCAGGTGGCACAGTGACGCACGTTCAGGCCATCGTCAAAGGCAACGCGCAGTTGCCTTGTGATCTCCTTCCTCCGGCGCTCAACGACAGTGTCGTCCTTGTTGTGTGGTACAAAGACGAGCACACGCCAATTTACAGGTAATTTATTATTCACGTTTCATGCGGGATGATGCAGTTTTTACGAAAATTTTGAGGAGTTTGTTCATATTTTATCAAAACGACGGTCGCCCACGTGAGGAAACTCTTGGAACAATACGCTAAACGCCACTGATGGAGATTCCTTCCGCTACGGATGTAAATAAAACAAAAAGAGAATCGCTAACAATTTCCAAGGTTAAATAATTTGGAACGCGGATTGATGTAGCGTGAAAATGGTGTTGTTTTTTGAACTATGGGCTTTTTTCCATCAGAGACAAGGATAATTACAAAAAGGTGACAAAACTCGGTTTTGATTTACGAGTAGAATGCTTGACGCAAACGGGTCGCATAGACACTCCTACCAAATTGAGGACACATAGGAATTTATTTATAAACTGTTTATCGCGTGCTTGTGGTGCTCTAATTATATACAAATAAAAGGCAATCAGGTGTGAGGTATTTAAAACAACTTGATTCGATGACAGCAAAAATTAGTTTTATTTAAAATACATATTCATTTTAACATGTAATTATCTGTTTCTAAATGCGGATGATAATACTGAATTTACTTTTATTTTAACCCGGCGCCTCCACCATTAACGAACTTTTGTATGCTGATAAATATTTTTATTCATTTGAATAACTTTAGTATTAATAATATATAATTTATTTTTTGAGCATATGGAATCCAATTTTTGTCGAACAAGTTTGCTTGTTATGTAAGCCCTTTTATACGCTTTGCATTCATTCTTTAGTCGACTGGCTCCTTGAAAACCTGCATTGCTCATCCAGTCATGGCCAATATTATCGGAAAAACTAATAATTGAAGTTGCTTACTTCTGAAAGAACCTATTTAGAATGTAGCATTGTCGACAGAGTATGTGTTTATTTTTACGACAGCACGCTAACAAGAAAAATAAATTTCGTTTATTGCACTGTCGCACGGTGAAAAATAAATAGCGAGGAAAACTGAGTATCCGTATAAAGTCGGCATAAAAGTATGTTTTTTGCCCAACTCTGCGACTGCATTCTTACGAATGCAACAGAACTGATCGATTGAAAGTGACAATTATTGCGCAAATAGTCAAACAACGCAGCCTATTCTTTGGGCGAGTAATAAACGAGGGCGATTGCCGACGCGAACAAAAATTGATAGCAGTTCATTTATCAAAGATTTTTCCAGAAATGAAATGCACCCCATGAAAAATAAGTCTGGTAGTTAATAGCCTTTTTTCTTTTATGTAACCCGGCTGCGTAGAGAGGATTTAAAATCGTTATGGCTCTGTCTGTCACAACGGGACGCTTCCGTGTTTTATGCTTCGCTTACGATCACAGATTATGGGTAATATGTGCTGGGAACCTCAAAGAGTTTGTTATAGCTGGATTTACTGCGTTCTTCAAATTTTTTCACGAGAATTACACTACGTAAAATTTTCACGTCTTTTTAGAATCTCAGTTTATTTTATTTAACTACACAATCAAAAATTAAATAAATGGTTTAATCATAATAATATACAGGGTGACCCAGGTCTTGTAAACAGTACATAACTTTATTTATTTACTTAAAGTACACATTTAAAAAAATACATTATGTTGGGTACAGGGTGGTGGTTACAGTTTTTAAATAAAGACTCTAATACTTTTACATTAAGTATTAATTTTTACATACAAAAATAATCGAAAATTTTATAGATCTATTTCTTTCTATTCCGGATTTATTCAACATTTTGTCATAAAATACCGACATTAGAAAAATTAGAATAGCTTGTAGTTTTAGCAAATAGTCTACTTTTAGTACATGCTCGCAGACACTGTACAGGGTGTGAAAACACGCAAAAAGTTGAATAACTAATTTTTTTATTCAACACCAACACCCTATATTAGTTTTCATGTATTTATTGGTCGATAGTATTTTTGTCAAGTTTTTCAATGATATGCGCGCTGATATGTATAGTAAATTTGGAATGTTTTTCGACATTTGAAAAACATTTATGATCATGAAGCTTTTATGATCAATAATCATGTTACTATCATTACTACCACCGGCTTCTTAATAAATTTTATAATTAATATCCCGCCTTGGCATTTCGTAAAAAATGCATTGGAGCAGTGATTCCGAGCTTTTTCTTGGTTACGAGGGTTATTAACGAAAAACTAAATTATTATTACTCCTAGTTATTAACGAAAAACTAAATTATTGTTACTCCTAGTTATTAACGAAAAATAATGCTACTAACAAAAGCTGAGAAGGAAGAGTACAACAAAACAAGACACGCAAGGGATAATTGATGTTATGAAGTTAAACATTTTAAGCTTAAAATCTGGAAGGGTCAAAAAAAATCCAGATTAAAGCGCCAAGGGGAATCAATTGAACTCAAAAAATGCCAAGGCAAGAAAAAGATTATTTCTATCGAGACTGCGATTATTACTACTAGGAGACTCGAATCGTCGCAATGGGTGAAGACGCGTTGCTTGACGCTCCCATTGTGACCAGTGAATTAGCAATTATAAGACCCATTACTACTGTAGGTCTTTTTCATTTATACAACCTTATTGAGTCAACAGATTGGAGCTTCATTGATACTCAACTAAATTGTCATGATAAATTCCTTATGTTTTTAAATATTTTAATGACCGCCATAAACTGTTGCTTTCCGCTGAAACTAATTACAAGAGAAAACTTCACCAAAACAAATTGGTTCACTCTTGCATTAAAAGAAAAAAGATCTAACTTAGTTTTTATGTATAATTTGTTCAAAAACAACATTATTTCGAAATCAGTTTTTATCGCATATAAATTCCGGTACAGATCTGATTTCAATAATGCAAAAAAATATGCCAATGACCGTTTTATTTCTAAGTCAAATAACAAATGCAAAGCCATGTGGTCAGTAATCAAAGGAAAACCTCAGTTTCCTAAATCACATGATACAAATATTGACGCTGACAGTTTCAACAATTATTTTTCGAATGTTGCTGAAAATATTATTGATGGATTGGAAAAATCAGACTCAACTTTCGCTAGTAATTTACAGGCAAATAATAAAAATACAAATTCTTTTGAATTTAAACCTTTTTCAATAAATGATGTCAGAGATTTGATTTGATTTGATTTGATTTGATTTATCGTTACTATTTTACATCTTAGAAAAAATAAATTGTCATTTGACTTGATTCACTGACACCATTCACAGCAGTCTATTTGAAAAAGCTAACAAATTTTCTGGTTAAAACAAAAATAGTATATTATAATACTAGTTTATAAGCAAGCCTTTAAAACACACACGACGGCTTTTAGCGTCGTAAGTGTTTTAAAAGCGCTTATAAACGAGTGTTATACGGAATTTTTTATTATACCTGCCCATTTACGATCTTTTATGAGCATTGAAAAAATGTGAATTTACAGAATAAAATTATCAAAGGTTGTTTGTGAATCTTTTTCGTAGAGACGGTTACTAGTTTACGTTGTTAAATAGAAATCTATATTTGTCGAAATTGGTGGTCCCCCTTTCCCCCCTTGTTCGAGAGAGATGGTTAAATTAATTTTTACACGGGTTGAGAGATTTGGAGCTATTACGTTTTAGTAAGGTATAATTAATTGGTGTTCTAATACAACAAATTCCTAAAGATAATTTGAATTGAAGGAGCTTATAAACCATTTGATAAATTTCGTTTAATAGTTTGGATGTGACTTTAAATACGTTAAACATTTAAACAGTTAGGTGTAAATCTATGTTTATTGGAATTCAAATTATTTTACAAAACCACAATATAAATAGATTAGATTGACATAATTTATAAAAAAAAAAAACACGAAATAGTATGTTAAGTAAATTTGGCCATCAAATGTATGTTAATTTAAAAAACTGTTATTGTAAGTCACGCTTTATTGTCATTATAGTGTCGATTTTCCAAAACAATAATGCCAGCAGTACGTTATTTTATAAAATTGATATAATAGGTATAAGCGTTTAAAATAACTATGAGATCTTACCCTTGATAACTAACATGCCCGTAGTAAAATTTAAAAAAGTGTAGTGCATTTTAAAATTACTTTTTAAAGCACAACAAAATCTTAAGAGTTGAGGTTTGTTTTTTGCAAGTTGTGGTCATCACCACACTCATCACTCTGGCGACTTAATAACTTGTAGTTGCGTCGTAATGTTGACAATCGAACAATAACAACAAGAGTCGAGTACCCCAGTTGATTGCGGCCAGATTAGCCGATTCAACGAGAACTAAGCCAGATTTCCCTGAGGGAGAATTCAACTCAGTAGTCTCGCTCTTTTCTGTTTCATCCTTGCAACTCCTCGCATCCATCTTGGCCGGCCACAAAGTGGATTAGGAAAACGGCGGAGGGCTAAAGAGAAAGAAGAGAAAAAGTTGACATTTGGATAGTCGGGATTTTCTCGACTAGACGAAGAAAATATGAAACAGGGATTGTTATCGCAGTTGGTCAACGTCTTCGTCCGCTGTTTGACATCCCATCCTAGATTTATCTGCCAGGATAACAGCCGGACGCGTTCGTGATCTGAGAACGTAAAATTTTCGACACGATATTCCGGAGAGGTCCTACCGATTTCTGACGCCCTCGTAAATATCACGCATCTCGGGAAATATTGCCTCGTCGTAGCAAATAGCCGTGAAATACACTTTAGATGTATTACGCGGAAAATGATAAGATAGCCGACCAACGACAAATAGAATAAAAAGCACGAGCCGTGGACCAACTTTTATTATCACTGATACGCTCAAATTTAAATCTTCCGGAAATTGCATACTTCAAATTGAAGCAGATAGGTAGGTATACAAAAAGATGATTGATTATACCTCAAACTTTTACTTTTTTTCATATTCAGCTACACAACAGTTGTCAGAACAAACAAGAGTGTGTGGGAGATTTTAACAACAAAAGCTGATTTTCACAGATTTTTAAATAAATTTATTTTAGTTTTACAAAATTTTCGGGTATAAAAATAACTTTTTTGCTTAGAGAGCTC